TATTAGTTATATATATTAAGATATATGCGCGGTGCGCGCACGATGGTTGTCGGCTGGTGTAGGTAAAACTAGAATTTCGCTTCTATTTCCTCTCTCTTTTACCCTGTAAAAAAAAAAGGTGCGCGCGTATGCCAAGGCGCCTTGGTGATTTCACCACACAGTGGGAGAAACCCACCGACCAGTCAAGGTTCTCCACTTTTCCTGATCAAGGTTCATCGGCTCACCACCATGTCTCGCATCTCCAACCAACTCTGGGGGTATGGTCTAGTGGTATGATTTCTGTTTTGCATTCAAATTTGCCCTACAGAAGGTCCCGCGTTCGATCCGCGGTGCTTCCAACGTCAACTCTGACTCTCTTGAGGTCCTTGATCTTGAGCGTGTTTTCTTTTTTGGGATGCAGTCATGTTAATTTTTGCATTCTCTCCATCATTTCCCCCCATCCTTGGTTTCTGGAGGTTTGTGTCTCGAATCGGGACGCACCCCCGATCTCCAATCAGCCCCGAGGCCAGCATGCACGATGAAGCTAGGTAGACTCACTTGTTCGGCCTTATATTCCTGTGATTACTCGGTCGGTTCATCAAAGAGTGGATGCTCTCTCCCTGTGCCTGGGCTTGAGTCACCGGCATGGAGGCGGTGCCCCGAGCCAGTGATGCATGTCAAGGCGCAGCTGCTCCCCAACCCAAGCCACCAGAACGCAACCACCTCCAAACACATATTGATACAACGGCAACTGTAACGCTGCTTGTGTTCTCCCAACTCCTTCTCTCCCTCGTGCCAACTGTCTGTCGTCTTGTACATACTGTCAAAAAATGCCGCCCAAAACCTCCAAACCCCAACACCGGGTAACCAAACGAACCAAGCCCACCCGATCCAAGAAAACACCCCGGAAACCCCAGACCCCCATCATGAACAACAACAACAACAACAACGAAAACCCATCCACATCCCCAGTCTACTTCTGGCGCGAAACCGACCCCTCAGTAGGCTACCTATCCCAATGGTACCCCTGCGCCTTCACCGACGACACCAACCCATCCATCATCTACCCAACCGCTGAACAGTGAATCCCCCCCCCCCCCAAATCCCAATATTCAAATGACAGTGATAACTTAAATACGCGTGTGACAAAAAAAAGCTACATGATGTATCAAAAAGCCCTCCTCTTCTCCGACCCCGCCGTGGGCGCCGAGATCCTGGCGGCCGGCCACCCGCGCGCCGTCAAAGCGCTGGGCCGCAAGGTGGCCAACTTTGACGAGGCCGTGTGGAAGGCCCGTCGGGAGGCGATTGTGCGGAAGGGGAGCCTGCTCAAGTTTACGCGGCCTGTGGATGTGGATGATGGGCAGTGGGTTGTTGTTCAGGGCCAGGGCGAGGGCGAGGGCGAGGGTGAGGGTGAAGAAGGGTTGAGTCTTAGGGAGCTGTTGTTGAGAACGGGGGAGAGAGAGATTGTCGAGGCGAGTCCGATGGATCGGATTTGGGGAATTGGGTTTGGCGCGGCCAGGGCGGGGACGGTGAGGGCGAGATGGGGGTTGAATCTCTTGGGGAAGGCGTTGATGGTTGTTAGGGGGGAGTTGAGAGAGGAGGAGATTGGAAAGAAGGGTGGGGAAGTGCCGTCAGAGGCGAAAGCGAGCGAGGAAAAGGAGATGGGTTGGGTTGGGACGGAAGAGGGGGAGGAGGTTCAGAATTGACTGTCTTAAACAAGACTAGAAAGGAGGAAAGAGATTGTAGGGGAAGGAGGTTGGATCAAGATTGACCGTCTTCAACGAGACTGGAGTTTATTCAAGCCTAATTATCACCACCCTGTCAGGTGGTCTTGTTTAGAAGGGTATTATTATTTTGATCCCAATACTTCGCTCACGGATTGGAGTTAACCCTCCGCGCCCCGTAGCCACCCCGATATTGTACATAGGTAGTATACTTTTCATGACACGCCCGTCTCCAATGGGCCCCGCAGAGTGGTGTGATCGTGGAAATGCATCAAGGCGCCTGCTCCCTCTGCTCTATACCACCAAGTCCCCCAAACTCCCTGCAACCTCAAGCGGCAAAGATCCCGGATGCCGTATGATACAAATTTTGTGACAATAGAACACAGTGAATGAAGAAACCAGCTGGGGCCAGACGTCTGGCCCTTCCTGGGAGTCGCCCACGCGTCGGGCTTGTAAAAATACAGGCCGCTTAAATATAGTCGCGGCCGCTCTTTTGCATCTCGATCAACCGCCACCCCCTGGTCTCGGGTTTGTTGACGTCCTCGGCAATGCGGGTGATACCAATAGCGTACGTGACGAGCTGGACCTTATCCTCCATGCCGGCTGCCAGCTCGTTCGTCTTGGCATTGCGGTAGACGTGGACCTCCTGTGTCCTGCAGGTGACGATAAAGACGGGGATCTCGCCGGGGTCGAGCATGCGCGCGCGGAGGATGTCGACTCCTCGGATGTCGAGAATCTTGCCGTCAGACTTGAGGCCGTTTTGGAGGTACTGCTTGGTCAGGGCCTCGTAGACGGAATACTGGGCCTCGGACAGCCACAGCTTCAGCGTCGCTATGTCGCCCTTGACGTAGGCATCCAGGACCTCGGGCAGGATGTACTCGCGGAGCTCTTGCAGGAACGGCTCCAGCTTGAATCCCGGATCCATGGTCCGGAGCTTCTTGATCACCATGGCCGTCTCGTTCTCGGCAAAGAAGCCGGCGACCTTGTCGGTAATGCTCCGTGCAGTCGAGATGAGCGGGTTTTCCGACTCTTGGTACACCGACTTCATGCCAAAGACGCCCTGAACGAATTTGTTCTGGTCTTTGAAATCCCTCCACGCCTCCTTCCACGCAGCGTCCTTGTGAAGCGTCACGTTGGTTCCGGCACTGCAAGGAGATTAGTGAATGTGCTAGGGATTGGATTTTGGCAGTCTTACTTGGGGTCTTCGTCATGGACCGTGTTGGCTGCGCCGTGCTTCTGCTCCCAAAGCTCCCTCCGCCTCTTGCGCTCCTCCTTCTCGACCCACCCGCCGTACCTGGAGCTGCTTCCATCGTCGATGACCTCCTTGACGTTCTTGTACGCCTCGGTGTCCCGAATTGGCTTAGTCGCCTTGTCTAGCGCCTCGCCCGTCTTGTTCGCGCCCTTCCGCACGCCCTTCATGACGGGAGTCTCCCAGGTCCAGGTGGCGCCCTTGCCGATGGCACCAGCAGTGGTCTTGACCGCCTTCGCGGCGCCCGATGAGACAGCGCCCGACGTGGCCTCGTAGGCTAGCCGCGCCTTCCGGACCGACTCGCTCTCGACAAACTCGTTCGCCGAGGACGCGAGAGCCTTGGTCGACTCATTCCACTCCTTGGATTGCTTGAGCTCGGTCTGCATGGTATCGTAGAACACCTGCCACGGGGTCTTGTCGCCGTGTGGTGGCGGAGGAGGGAGGTCCTCTTTCTTTTCTTTTCCCTTGCCTTCGGCCTTCTCCTCGCCCTCCTTCTCTTCCTTCGCCTCCTCCTTGGACTCCTCCTTAGACTCGGACTCCTTTGTTTCCTCGCCCTCTTTTGTTTCCGGCGGCGGCTTAGCGTCTGTCTTTTCGGGTTCCTTCTGCCATGTCCGGGCCGAGACGGAGAACGAGCGCGTGTTGCTCTGCGATAATCTGTCTAGCCTGATGGCGCTGGTGGGGAGTGTCGAGCGCAAGAGGGGTTGTTGTTGGAAAAGGGTAGATGCGGAATACGTCGCGCTCTCTGAGCTGCCGAGTTGCGTTGTCCTCGAGGAGAGGGAACGGTACTGCGATGGTGACGTGCATCGAGAGCTCCGCAGGCCGGATGCCCTCAATGGGGCGCCCGGCGAGAGCCTCTGAATCTGCCGTGCCGAATTCATAATCCTGTATCAGCCGACTCGCCCTCGACAAAAGTGACAGGCGTGGCAGAAGAGGGAGGACGGGTGATGGAGGGGCGACTGCGCAAGAAAAGAATTTGATGGATGAGGATTTGCACGCGACGGCAAGCCGAGCGAGTCCCTGGAATTCTTTTGCCCGCAGCGCCAGAATCTTTGCCAAGAAACGGCAAATTCCCGGCTCGGCGTCCCCAGGCTCCCTCGCCGCCGCGGCAAGTTCCGACCCCAAAATTTCCAATGGTCTGGGCTTCTTCCACCAGCGCGCAGCAGCAGCAGCAGCAGCAGCGGCTCATCTCGACTTTCGCGTGTGCGAAGCCCCTCTGCCCCAACCTCAAGACAACAATAACAAATCTCACCACGCTGGCATTGAGGTCGTTCGGATGACCATTGCCTAGCGGAGATGAGCCGATTCACAATAAGCCGCCTTCTGGCGCCGGAGCTGCTGCGACCACTCTCGAAACCGGTCTGCACGACAACCTCAGTCCCGCAACAATGGACCCGACTCTTCTCCCAGTCGCACGCCGCCGGGAACATCTGGACCCCTCCCCAGCAGCCCGCTCAACCTCAAAGCTCGACTCCGGAAAGCCTTCCCATGAACCAGCTGGCTCAGAACCGGCTGGCTCAGAACGTGATGCGCCGCTCTCTGAAGCCGAGTGAGCCAGCACCCGACTCCCTCACCGAGGCGCTGGACGTCCCAGAAGAAGAAAGCGCGGAACCATACCACTTCCACGTCTTCAGCCACAAGCACAACACGCACATCACGCTCACCAAGCCGAACCGCGACGCCCTGCTCTCGCTGTCGTGCGGCAACCTGGGATTCAAGAAGGCCGGGCGCAAGCACTACGACTCGGCGTACCAGCTCGGCGCCTACGTGATAGACAAGATGCACCAGAAGGGCCTGGTCAACAAAATCCACAAGCTCGAGGTGGTGCTGCGTGGGTTCGGTCAGGGCAGAGACGCGGTTGTCAAGGTGCTGATGGGGAACGAGGGCAAGCTGCTGCGGCCCAAGATCACACGCGTGTCGGATGCGACGAGGGTTAAGTTTGGTGGTACTCGGAGCAAGAAGAAGAGAAGATTGGGCTAAGGGGGTCAGGGGGTCAGGGACTCGGGAAAGGGAGCGAGGCGTGGGTTGGGGGTTATGGATCTGTATGCATCCGTTTCCATGTATATCTGTATACTACAAACAAGTTTTTTTCTCGACCATGTATTGTCTTATCAGAGGCCAAGTCAGCATCAGAAACAACGTCAATGTGTCCCGGAAACCAGAAGTTGTCGCCCATCGGATGATGGATCGCTCGGTGTTGAGACGGCCGAACCGCCGGCCGAGACGGACTCCGGATGGACCCACTCAAAAATTAATTTTAGGTCCTTTCGGCGGCCATCACTTCACCAGAGGAGCTCCCCGCCATCCGCCAGCAACGGCCCGGAGCCACTTGATTACACAACACAACGGCGCAAAGCCATGTGGCAACCAACAAAATGTCGCCAACGAC